TTTCAGATTTCAAAATTTTAGAAAATTTATTTCTTGATCAGCCAGCGATTTGTAGACTTGGCAGAATAAAGCTAAGCTACTGTAGAAAGTATTTCCAAAGTAAAAATTCACATTCAACACGTTGCAAGTACAAAGATGGGCAAATATATGGAATTCAACTTAATTAGTGCCTCACTTATATTCAGACGAATATAACATTCGGAACGCAATTGTTTAAATGAGACCGATAATATAAGCTTGAATTATCGCAAACAGTGAGACTAATCTAGGGAATCGCAAAGGGCGCTTCTGGTTAAATATTTTTTGAAAAAAATAAATTTTTTACCAATTCTCAGGGTAAGAATATTTTCAGATTTCAAATTTTAGAAAATTTATTTCTTGATCAGCCAGCGATTTGTAGACTTGGCAAAATAAAGCTAAGCTACTGTAGAAAGTATTTCTAAAGTAAAAATTGCATTTAACACGTTGCAAGCACAAAGATGGGCAAATATATGAAATTCAACTTAATTGGTGCTTCACTTATATTCAGACGAAATAACATTCGGAACGCAATTGTTGATATAAAACCGATAATATAAGCTTGAATTATCGCAATTAGTGAGACTAATCTAGGGAATCGCAAAGGGCGCTTCTGGTTAAATATTTTTTTCAAAAAAATAAATTTTTTACCAATTTTCAGGGTAAGAATATTTTCAGATTTCAAAATTTTAGAAAATTTATTTCTTGATCAGCCAGCGATTTGTAGACTTGGCAGAATAAAGCTAAGCTACTGTAGAAAGTATTTCTAAAGTAAAAATTCACATTCAACACGTTGCAAGTACAAAGATGGGCAAATATATGGAATTCAACTTAATTAGTGCCTCACTTATATTCAGACGAATATAACATTCGGAACGCAATTGTTGATATAAAACCGATAATATAAGCTTGAATTATCGCAATCAGTGAGACTAATCTAGGGAATCGCAAAGGGCGCTTCTGGTTAAATATTTTTTGAAAAAAATAAATTTTTTACCAATTCTCAGGGTAAGAATATTTTCAGATTTCAAAATTTTAGAAAATTTATTTCTTGATCAGCCAGCGATTTGTAGACTTGGCAGAATAAAGCTAAGCTACTGTAGAAAGTATTTCTAAAGTAAAAATTCACATTCAACACGTTGCAAGTACAAAGATGGGCAAATATATGGAATTCAACTTAATTAGTGCCTCACTTATATTCAGACGAATATAACATTCGGAACGCAATTGTTGATATAAAACCGATAATATAAGCTTGAATTATCGCAATCAGTGAGACTGATCTAGGGAATCAAAAAGGGCGCTTGGGGTTAAATATTTTTTGAAAAAAATAAATTTTTTACCCATTTTCAGGGTAAGAATTTTTTCAGATTTCAAAATTTTAGAAAATTTATTTCTTGATCAGCCAGCGATTTGTAGACTTGGCAGAATAAAGCTAAGCTACTGTAGAAAGTATTTCCAAAGTAAAAATTCACATTCAACACGTTGCAAGTACAAAGATGGGCAAATATATGGAATTCAACTTAATTAGTGCCTCACTTATATTCAGACGAATATAACATTCGGAACGCAATTGTTTAAATGAGACCGATAATATAAGCTTGAATTATCGCAAACAGTGAGACTAATCTAGGGAATCGCAAAGGGCGCTTCTGGTTAAATATTTTTTGAAAAAAATAAATTTTTTACCAATTCTCAGGGTAAGAATATTTTCAGATTTCAAATTTTAGAAAATTTATTTCTTGATCAGCCAGCGATTTGTAGACTTGGCAAAATAAAGCTAAGCTACTGTAGAAAGTATTTCTAAAGTAAAAATTGCATTTAACACGTTGCAAGCACAAAGATGGGCAAATATATGAAATTCAACTTAATTGGTGCTTCACTTATATTCAGACGAAATAACATTCGGAACGCAATTGTTGATATAAAACCGATAATATAAGCTTGAATTATCGCAATTAGTGAGACTAATCTAGGGAATCGCAAAGGGCGCTTCTGGTTAAATATTTTTTTCAAAAAAATAAATTTTTTACCAATTTTCAGGGTAAGAATATTTTCAGATTTCAAAATTTTAGAAAATTTATTTCTTGATCAGCCAGCGATTTGTAGACTTGGCAGAATAAAGCTAAGCTACTGTAGAAAGTATTTCTAAAGTAAAAATTCACATTCAACACGTTGCAAGTACAAAGATGGGCAAATATATGGAATTCAACTTAATTAGTGCCTCACTTATATTCAGACGAATATAACATTCGGAACGCAATTGTTGATATAAAACCGATAATATAAGCTTGAATTATCGCAAACAGTGAGACTAATCTAGGGAATCGCAAAGGGCGCTTCTGGTTAAATATTTTTTGAAAAAAATAAATTTTTTACCAATTTTCAGGGTAAGAATTTTTTCAGATTTCAAAATTTTAGAAAATTTATTTCTTGATCAGCCAGCGATTTGTAGACTTGGCAGAATAAAGCTAAGCTACTGTAGAAAGTATTTCCAAAGTAAAAATTCACATTCAACACGTTGCAAGTACAAAGATGGGCAAATATATGAAATTCAACTTAATTGGTGCTTCACTTATATTCAGACGAATATAACATTCGGAACGCAATTGTTGATATAAAATCGATAATATAAGCTTGAACTATCGCAATCAGTGAGACTGATCTAGGGAATCACAAAGGGCGCTTGGGGTTAAATATTTTTTGACAAAAATAAATTTTTTACCCATTTTCAGGGTAAGAATATTTTCAGATTTCAAAATTTTAGAAAATTTATTTCTTGATCTGCCAGCGATTTGTAGACTTGGCAAAATAAAGCTAAGCTACTGTAGAAAGTATTTCTAAAGTAAAAATTCACATTCAACACGTTGCAAGTACAAAGATGGGCAAATATATGGAATTCAACTTAATTAGTGCCTCACTTATATTCAGACGAATATAACATTCGGAACGCAATTGTTGATATAAAATCGATAATATAAGCTTGAACTATCGCAATCAGTGAGACTGATCTAGGGAATCACAAAGGGCGCTTGGGGTTAAATATTTTTTGACAAAAATAAATTTTTTACCCATTTTCAGGGTAAGAATATTTTCAGATTTCAAAATTTTAGAAAATTTATTTCTTGATCTGCCAGCGATTTGTAGACTTGGCAAAATAAAGCTAAGCTACTGTAGAAAGTATTTCTAAAGTAAAAATTCACATTCAACACGTTGCAAGTACAAAGATGGGCAAATATATGGAATTCAACTTAATTAGTGCCTCACTTATATTCAGACGAATATAACATTCGGAACGCAATTTTTGATATAAAACCGATAATATAAGCTTGAATTGTCGCAATTAGTGAGACTGATCTAGGGAATCACAAAGGTCACAAGTGGTTATATATTTACTGAAAAAATTAATTTTTTACAAATTTTCAAGGTAAGATTTAATTTCTTATTAATATTTTTAAATTAACTGATTATGGATAGGGAAATATGTAGATCTGTTATAAGCTCTTAAAAAAGGCATCATTCCAGTTTCAAAACTATCTTCATTAATTAGTTTTATCAGAACATGAAGTCAAATAGCCTTTTTGTAAAATATAAATTCTATAATATTTCTTTTAGCCCTAAAATTGATACTTTTTTTTTAAATATACATACTTTAAAAAAAAAATTTTACTAGAAATCCATCGCATTCTTGAAGATTAAATATTACAAAATTTGTGGAATTTTTGTTTGCTATTGTCACGCAATCAGCATGAAAATAAAATACTTATTCAGTTTCTGTAAAAAGTATGAAATCTGAAAATAACGTCAAACTAAAAATATCAAAACTGAATTTCCTTTTATTTGTGAAAGTAGGAGAAGAAAGTCGATTATATTTTTAATTAGCACGAAAAATTAAAAAAGGTCCGCGTAGACGATTTTCGTGACAAATTGAAAAAAAGGTAAAAGGCCTTTTTAATTAATTTTGAATTTCCACCGTTTCAAGGGCGAAAATGAAATTGAAACGCGTCGGTCGCTTCTGGGTAAACCACACACGACGCGAAATCGACCCTCGCTTAACCGAGGCGAAAACTGCTTTTCCGCGAACATTTATTTAAAATGCTAATTAAAGCTGGGGCGAAAATAAATTAGCCGAGGAGAGGCGACTCTCGTTATATTTTTGACACACGCCTTGCGATTTTTTTCGCCACGCCAGACGCAGCCTCGCGTTGTCGCTCAAAATTAGGCTCGGGCACGGGTGCGGGAAAAAAACGGCTCGAGTTGCGCCGGGTCACTTTCATAACTTTTTCACTTTGAGAAATTTGCTTCCCGTCATAAATTAAACGCGGGCATGAATTTGACAGACGAGCCTTTTGATGTCAAAAACCAAAATGGCCGCGTGCTGCAGCCTTCCCGAAATATCACTTTGACCTCAAAATTTTTCAGTTTGGAGCGTAAAAAATCAATAAGCTAGTGTTTTGGTTTTTGAATGAATTCTGGCAATTTGCGTGCTGTGAAATGCTGAAATTTTAAAAATTGTAGTGTAAAAAAACTTCAATTTTCCATTTCTTTTGGATGACTTTTTACAAGTTTTCTTGCAGGATTTTTTTAATTTTTCTAGCGTTACTAGCGATTTTAAGGCAAAATTTTGAAAATAAATTTTCTGAATTCTATTTTATTTCTAAATTTAATTACTTTTTTTATGATTGTTTCATTTTTTTTTGCAATTTAAATTCAGAATGCTTCAAAAATTAAATAGTGATGGAGTTTAATGGAAATAAACTCGAAATTATTGCACAAATTATTAAATTAAATAACAAAATGGATAATATTTTTAATTTAAAATACTAATTGTTGTTTATTTTTTCCAATTTTTTAAATTTACATATCGTTAACAATCATTAAATTGGAAACGTGGACGAAAAGGCACCACCACTAGAATGACTTTTGATAAAACCCGAAGTTTGTAAATTGTGCTAATTTATTGTTGCTCTTGTGTGTTGCAGGTCTGAAAATGCGCGGCATTGACCACGAGGTGGGCCGTGACTTGATGAGGGCGGTTGTTTACGTCCGGCCCGAGGAGGTGCAGCAGAGACTTGCTTTGAACTTCCCTCTTGTGAGGAGGAAAAGAGAGGTAAATCCAATTTTTTCCTATTTCAATATTTATTTCGAGAGGCGATTTTCCTTATGAAACAAAAAAAGGAAAAAGATTTTCTGTTCAAATGTAGTGCGAAAGGCAATTTGATTAGGGGTCGCGCGTGCGTCTCGCTCTCGGGGTCGTGTCCGAGGCGGCTAATGGAGAAGGAATGACAAAGGCATCCGTGCCGGCGTGAAATTAATTTCGCACGTAGCGCGCCGACCGACCATTAATCCTGCAGGCGGACACACAACGTTAAGTGTGCATTTTGCCGAGTGTGTGACTTTCTCATAATGCAAGAAGGGCCGAGTCACACCTTCCTTCCCTCCGCCCGTGATAAATTGCAGCACGTCCGCAATTATTGGACACCCTAGCATGTTGTTTTATCGCCATTTTTTTCTGCTTTTCTCGCGCCACCAGCCGAGCTTGACACAAGGAAATTGTGTTTTCAATTTAATGAGCAGAGAGATGTTGCACAAGCTCTCTATCAATGTTATTACGCTCAAGATTGTAAGGAAAATTGAACAAGGACATTTACAGATTCAACTTGTTTCTGGTTTAAACTACTTTTTTTTTTTAAACGCGAAACTTTAATTTATTACTAGTTATTTCCAATTTAAAACTTCTTTGGCTGTTTTGAGTCCATTTTTCTCTTCAGTGCACATGCAAATGGAAAATTGGCGCTTCCACTTTGGGTTCTAATTAAGATAATTGCTCATAAATGGAGATTAATTTTCATTTTATTCGCTCCAAAATGAAATTTCTGCCAACGGATCTTTGCGATTGAAATCATGCTGACTCAAAATATGTTGGATTAAAACTAGTTTTTTGACCTTTTTTATATTTCAGAACTATTTTGTGACTTTTATGTTCTCTCATACAAAGTTTTGATGCAGAATTATCACAAATTTCATTAGAAAATTTCAAGCATTTTATGATTTTTATGAGAAAAAACTTTATTAACATCAATTTTTTTAATAAAAATAAATAAATTTCCTTAATATTATGTTAATTCGGTAAACTTTGCTTAAATTGTGTAGCTCAAATGCAACCTCACTGCTAGTTTATTTATGAGAACTAATGAAGGCTTTTTTTTTATTGAATTATTTTTTACTTCTATATAGAAATATGTATTGAGCGTAATCAAGAATTTTTCCTGCTTTGTATGAAATATGTGAAATATCAGTAAAAAATCTCAATTTATAATTATATAGAATATAAAAATATTTTTACTTCCAAACTTCCTACATATATATTTTATCAATGAAAACTTTAATTTACCCTTTACCCCAGGAATATAATGCATGCATATTTTAAATTTAAAACATTGGCAGCAACACAACCTGCCGAGCTTTAATGGCAAAACATCAACCATGATTAATCGTGCGAATGAATACAAAACGCTAATAATTGAAACTGGCTTGTTTTCGAATTGGCGGCGTCGACGCGGCATTCAAAACGGTCGAGCATCACAAATTAATTGCCGGTCCGTGATTGAGGATCCGAATATGCAGTCAGCGGAAAGATGGATGTGCGTGTTGTGTGAGCGCAAATAATAAATCCGTCGCGCAAAAAGCCCAACTCATTAATGCATGGCCTCATAATGCGTTGTTTGTCCGAGCAAACGTGACCATCGCTAATTTTTGTTCCCGTGAGAACAACAAACTGGAAACGCATTGTGACGACAAACGCATGTTTTATATCTGGAACAATTTCAAAAAGAGGGTAAAATTATCCCGAAGAAGAAGAAAATGTTTTATTAAAAACGTTTACTTTTGTCCTCATTATTTGGCAGAACGATAAGAAAAAATTACAAAATAGATAATGAAATTGATCCCGCGAATCCAATAAATGAATATTTTTAATCATCACTTTACCGGATACATTTCACAATCCAATTCCATCCAGCAATTTCGTTTTTTGTCTGAAATGTATCCACTTTTTTTCACGGTTGTTTTCAATTTGCAAAAATGACCAACGCAATTGCGACGAACCGGACAAACTTTTAATAGCGTTAGAAATTTTCCACTGGCGGAAAAACATCCGCGCACTGGTTGTTTTTTCCCCCATTTTTGTTACATTTTCCTGGTGGAGTGGATAAGAGGAAAAAATTGAGCCTCGAGGGCATTTACATTTTGTTAGATCCACACCCGGAGCGTTTTGCGTTTTGCGACCCAATAAAAAGGGCGCTTTATTTATTGGCCTGGATCAGGGCCAACTAACTGCAGATGGGCCCAAATGATATCCATAATGATGCAAATTCGCCACCTGGGGACTGCGCGCGTCGTCTCCGTTTCGCTCCCGGATTAATTTCGCCTGCAGGGACTCGAATGGATCGTAATTGGATTATTATTTGATCCGTCATGCCCAGCACCGAGCCGGGCTTGTGACAATTTAATATGAAAAATGATACAGCAGGATGATATGCGATCGAGTTCAAATCCACCGTGGAAAATCCTTGTCATTCTTGTCGAAACTATTATTTTATTTAGCTTTAAAAAAATTCAATGCTAGCCACAATGAGAATTGTTTGTTTAAAAACTGCGCGAATTTGAGCCTGAAAATGCAAAAATTTAACACTTTTACCAGTCAACTGATCTGATACATTGTAATTCAATATTCTATGTTCTAGCTGTGTCAGCTCTAATTGGAAGTGAAAAAAGAATAATTAATATTATGGGATTTTTGTAACAAAAGCTTTGTGCATATTTTTCATTTTATAAAAAGTAAAATTTCAAAATAATGTATACGAAAAGATACTATTGGTGCCTTTTTTTCGCTAGTGAATGCTATTTTTTTTTCAATTGTGATGAAAATTAAAATTTTGCAATTATTTTCTTGATGGAGCGAAATTTCTTTATCTTAAAATTAGAAATCATGTGAAATTGGTTAATTTCGTTTTTACAAAATATTGATTAATTATTTTGCAACTGGCTTTCGTTGTCATTATTTTCCTCTGTGCAACATATTCCTTTTTTAAACATAAAACTCCAGGGGTGTCGCTGTGATTTAAATTATTGCGATGACAAAGTCAAACAATATCACAATTATATATTTACCACAAACATCAAATGAAATTTCGATATCCAATTTCGTTCGCATTAGTTCTGCGCCGCACGCGTTCGTGTTATTTTATTTCCACTTTTACACGCTCGCCGTTTTTGCCACATGCCTTGCGCACTCGAATTCGTTTGATCGATGGCGAAATTCTCGATACGCAAACAGCAGCGACGTGCATTAATTAATTTCACTGCTACCCCCGCACAATGGCGGCGCCTCTCACTCGCAGAAACTCACAATGCAAAAACGTCAAAGTGTAATTTTTTTGTGAATCTGAAATTTTTGCCAAATGTTTCATCTTTTCAATTCAATATTTTACTGCAAAAATGAAACTTTCAACTGTTATAAAAAAAAAAATCCATTAGTTTCATTTTAACCTCTGATTTAAAATTTTCTGAAACTTTTTAATTTTGAAGAATTCATTTTTGCATAATATTAAAATTAAAATAATTTAATTCTGAAGTCGTGATTCTAAATAATTTCAACTCTGCGAATTTCTTTCCCTCCCTTTTTATTTTGGGATTTTTTGGAAAAATTTTGCTTTGCAGAGAAATTAGTGCTTCCTTCCCCCTTTCATATTTCGATGTGGCGCTGAGCACGAAATGTCAAAGGGGCGCGGGTTTAATTTGCGCCGAGCATCATTATTTTACATATTGCGAGTGGAACGACGACAAGTCGCGCGAATTCAGTGAATGCGGCGAGTGTGTTTCTTTTTCCAAGCGTGCAAATTCGCCGACACGAATTAAATTCACGTATATGCAAAATTTCGCTTTGGTTATTTCGAAGCGGCGGAAAAGCAGGAAGCGGATTATGCTGGGGTTTGCTCTGGTTTTTGAGCCGCTTTTGAGGGAAACATGGCGCTTGCTTGAAAAGTTTCCCATGTTTTGAATTTCTAGCTGGTTCGCATAGAATTATAGAAAGTTTTGTTAACAAACGTAATTTTTAAGGCTTATTGAGGAATTAAACAGATTTACGTTTGTTGAAAGTCGCCAGTAAGCAAAATTATAACCAAATAATCTAGATTCATCTTCATTAATTAGCTAATGATTATTTTTAAATAATTTTAAAAACGGAGAAGCGAGTTTCTTGGCGCTCTAATTGGCAAAAGTTTCGCAGCAGAAAAGAGGGCAAAAGTTTCAAAAATGATACAAAAAAGAGCAGAAGGTCAACTGCGAGCAATTTTCGCTCCAATTAAGAAAAGTCTCTGCGAAATAATAAATATTTATCCAGCACATCAGCATGCGGAAGGAAAGCGAATTCAGAGAAGTTTTGAGCGAGCGAAAGAATAAATAAAGTGTCATGGCGGCCGAAAAGGGGCGCAGATGATGAGGGGCGAATATCCAAGTAGCTGTTTTTGTTGCGCACATCATTTTAGCGGCACCAGCTGCGCCTGCCTCTCTTTTTAATATTAAAATGTCACCGCACTCGCAGTTCTTTTCAGACCGGCTCGTTCATTCTGCCAAACGCGAAAATTCGCCCAAAGACAAATTGCGAGAGCGACGCCTAATGATGCGAGCGTCACAGACACGACCAGCTTTTTCTCTCAAATTCCAGATTTTCCTGCTGCTGCTGCTGGGAGAATTATTATGGCTTTAAACATGCTCCGTGCAGAAAAAAATTTAATATGTAAAAATTTCTCAGCTGAAAATCCGCACTTTTTGAACAAAGCTTGATCATTTTCCCCTGACATAATATATTATCTACTTTTAAAATAATCCATTAAGTAATTGAGTTTCACGAAGAAGAAAAACAAAATTTAAGTAATGAAAATTAAACAATTTTGTTCACATTTAAAAACAATTTATGTAATATTAAAGATCTCTAATATGAATTTTCATATTATTCCGTAATTCAAATTACTATGTTAAATTTGATGTGAAAGAGTTAATTCAAATTAACAAAATTCAGTATATTTACATAGAATTTACCATTAATTCAGTAAAATTTTGAATGAATTATATATGCGTCGCAAATGATACAGAATTTAAGCTGCTAATTTTGTTTTTATTTAATAAAAAAATTATTTTTGCTAATAAGTCCGATTTTAACCTTTTTTCAGACTCATCCAGCTGCTGACAAACCTTTGTCCATGGAGCTGACCAAAGTTTCCCCCGAGGATGAACCACTGGAGATTGGCACACCTCTCACATACAAGGTATTTATTTGAATTTGAAACTACCGGAAGTTGAGAAAGTTCTGCTGTTTCCTTTATTTTGTTTGCAAATTTAAAAGCAATAATTAAGGAATAATTTTTTAAATCTAAAATTTTACTGCAAGTGATTTAATTTTAAATTCAATCAAATTCAAATTTGACAAAATTGATAAATTCAACCATTTTATACTTTGTATTAAAAAAAATCAAATTGTCAACTTTCTCACAACTCTTGCTAGTAATAAGTTATTTAAAATTGTCCCAGCATTTAATTTTGTTTTTTGTTTCTCTTTTAATAATCACTTGAAAAAATATATTCAGACCGCAATTCTTATTCCATTTTGTAATTCTGAATCAAATTAATTTGAGAGTAAAAACCACTTCTATTGATATTTTGAATGTTTTTATTTTTTTTATTTTGCTTATTTTTATTAACATTTATTTAGCTTTTGCATCGAAATAAATTTTGGATAGTAAAAAATCTTTCAATATTATTTAACTTGCTTAGGATTCCATCAAAATTGACTCATTGGAAAGAATTATTTTGTAACTTTTTTTGCGTTCAACCAAAAATATTCCCATTTCGAGCAAAAATGACTTTGTGACGAGTTTAAATGAATAAATTTCGGTGTTTTTGTCAGGCCGTGGTGCACCTGCCGCCGGAGAGTTGGTGGTCGCGGCCGGTCGGCGTGCAGATCAGCACAGACCAGGCCGACGCCAAACTGGCCCTTTGCCAAGCCAGGGTGTCCGGGGTGAAGGGAGCCCTCGTCTCCAGCCTGGGGCCAATCAACACCCTGGAGGCGCAGCTTTTCACGCACAAAACCCTCTCCACGATGGTGAGTCCTAATTTTTTTCTCTCTCTCTCGCTATGAAAATCGCAATAATCAGGCGCGGCGCCGTAACAATGAAAATAACGACGGCAATAAAGGTGAGTCTGCAATGCAGGTGCGCGGCGCTCATCCCGCCAAAGGTTTCCTGCTTTTTACTGCACCCTCGTAAAGCCAAATTAATCCCTTAACAAGATAGACTGAAACGGCAGCTCAAGGAGAGTTTCATTCCGCGCCCATTTCCATTTGCGCAATTTACTCGGATATATCATTAAAAATAACAACGAAATTTTTGCTTTCAGAATGTTCGCGCCGTTTTCGACTTTGGCGTGATTTCTCTCTTGGACCACAACTCGAGCGACTCGCGGCCCAGTATCGAAATTTCTTTTGAGGTGATAATCGTCGCGCCTGGGGTTCAGGGAGGCCCTTTGCAGTTCATCAGAGCCACCCTCACCACAGACGAGGCCGGGGCCATGGCGGCGATCGACCTTTCAAATGTGGCAAACAAACAGGTACGATGATCAGAAAGATTTTTCACATTTTAATGAAAAGAAGTAAATTTTAGAATATGTAAAGATTCTATCAAAGTGTATGAAAGAGTTAAATTGTTTGCAATTATCGCAACGTTCAAAAATATTTAACACACAATATATAATACTAATTACCAGCATAAAATAAGCAAAATTACTAATATTTTTTTTATCAATAATATGAAGTGGAACGATAAAATTTGGATTCATATAGGACGGATTATGATTCCATTCAAATGAAATTCCCTAAAAAATGTACATTTTATTAAATTCCCAGCAAACATTCATTACATTAGGAAAGGAGGAAAAAGTTACCAAATTTACATTATTTTCATGTGCGTAGATCAAAGACCAAATTGTTTCCGCAGATGTATTGAAATAATGTTTACATTCAATTTCGCAAATTATGCATTGTTCCTCTTCCTCTGAATTGAAATTGATTGCGATTGAAACGTGCCTTGTCAGTTTTGCCAAAGATATTTATTTACCTGCTCAGCGCTATTTTCCCCCTGTAAAGAAAAATGAATGCTTTTCCGCCGCGCTTCGTTTCCTCTCGGCCCGAGAACGGAATTTATTTTGACGTCGCGGAATCGAGAGATCGTACATAAATTATTGCAACATGCCGTGACTTTTATTCGCAAAGTCTCTCTCTCAATCGAAGGGAGCAAATATAAAGCTCGGTGTGCGGCGTCAGGAAAATACTTTGGCGACCCAGATCTGGAAAGTTTGATGTGTTGCGGTGACGAATATTTATTGCGGACGGAGAAGAAGAAAAAAGAGTCACTTTCAAATTAGTTTCAAATCGATGTCGCCGCCAAGAATAAATCCGAACTGGCTGCGTTTGATGATTTGAATTTACATGTGTTTGTTTGTCGGCGCACAATTGAGCGAGCATCTCATTCCAAGTGCGACGAGAGAGACTGCGTTGTCGAATGGGTTTGCTGTTTGCCATGCAGATTGCTTGTTTTGCAAACAGCTCAATTGGAGCAGAACTAGTGTGAGCGGGAATAATTAAACACACTCGCGCCGCGTGAGTTTATGTTCCCTTTTCACAAGCAGAAGGTCCAAAACTTCTTCTCCGTCTTCAAGTAGAAAAGCTTTAACGAAATAATCAGGCCTCTAATTGCAAATAAGTTTGCTTGTCCGTTAAAGTGGATGGAACAAAATGTTCCCCAAAAACTAATCATTTGAAACAATACAACTGCAAGAAAAGCATTAGTGTAAAATATGTTTGAGGCCTAATTACTTTTGATTGGTTTGAGGACGTCACAAGAACAATGAATTGATTTTTTTTTAATTTTCTTTGGAAAAGTTCCATGGAAGTTTAAAAATTGTAGCTATTTCTCGTTTCCGAGAAAATCAACAGTTTTGAACAGTTTCAAGGATGAAAGAAATCTCTCCAATTTCCACATTTCATTCAAGGTTTATAAATTTCTTTAGGAACCTCAGCAAAAATTATATTAATGTTTACCATGTTTGAGATATAAATACAAAGCTTTCGATTGAATTTTGAGAGGTATTTACTGAAGTTAACGAGACACGCATCCCTTTCACGAAACGTATGTCGTCGTCGTAGTCGCATTGAGCAAACGTTCTGTCGCCGCGAGCACAGCCTAAACAGACTCTCTATTCGCGCATTTGAAAAGCGCAACGTTCGCTCTGAAAAAGGTCGTCAGCTTTTATTCCGAATCGTGCGCTGAGCGAAAATTACACTCGGCGCGCGCCATTCATGAATTCGTAACGAAGCCGCGCCTCTGCTTTTGTATTTATGCAATCAAGAAAGCTCGGATTTATGCAGCTCTCGCGGCCGTAATCAAAATTAATTTTTCACGATCCGCAACACGATTATCGCGCGCGCGGCAGGCAACAAAGAATTACGTTTATATCTGCAGTCGGACGTGCGCTACTTTGGCGCGAAAATGAGATTGCTCGGCGAGGTGCGTCGTGTTCGGAGGCAAAGCGCAGTAATATGGACTCTTGTTGTAAACCCAACAGCAGAAATACATGCAGCTGCGATTCTGCATTATTGGAGAACATTCAAAAGCAAAACAATCATTGTTCAATTGAAACCGGAATATTCCTTGATGAGTTATTGATTTGTGAAGCTTTTATTATTATTATTTTTTATTTTTTAGAAACAAAAGCAATATCTTCATATTCCACGAGAGCTCTAATTTGCAAGCAGAATAATTTACAAATGGCAAAAAAATCCTTCTACAGAATTGGTACCAAGAGGAATACTTTAGTATTTTCATTTCAAATCAACAAACATGAGTTTTGATCTAAAAATTTAAGTATTTTTATGGAAATCCTTGTAATCGAGAGATATTCTTATAAATTGTTTTTCTTGTAACTAATAAAATTCTTCAGTGAATTGAAAAATTAATATTTTTCCAAGGATAATAACGAATTTATTGATTTTTTTTTTTTAATTTTACAATCTCATTTGAGGGCTATTTAAGATCGTTTCCACCACTAATAATTACTAAAACGTTTTCAAGAGAGGAAAAATTGCTGGAAAAGTAGGACAAATTAAGAAATTGCTAATTATTTTTGAAAATTTTCAATACTAAAAAGGAATGATTTTTGTAAAATTCATTTTTTACGATTTCGAAATTATAAATTGGTAGCCATTATAGCTTGAACGGAAATTAATTATGTACAATATTTGCCTGTTGCAAACAGTTCAGCGGTTAAAGTGCGGGCGATAACAAATTTGCTATTCCACTCTCATATGGTGCCGCGCGTAATTGTGTTTGTCTGCAGTAACTTTCCTTGTCGCTGGATGTAGTTAATGAGAAGGTTAACTGGAGCCACTTTATAATGTCCTTTCATGCAATCAATAAGCAATGAACTTTGACCCTTGACCTTAAAAATAAAAATAAAAAATTGTATGTGGCAGTAAGAATTTTAAATTAAAAAAGGTTCCTTAAAGTTGCAAAATATTCAAAAGGAAAAAAATAATAAATCTAAAAAAAGACTTTTCAAATTGAAGAAGATACAAAGGCTCTTTTTTCATTCTAATTTTGAATAAGTAAGTCTCAACTCCCAAAGCTCAAATGAAGAAATTTTGATTAAAGTGAATTTTGGTCAGTCATAAATCATAAAAATTTTTATTCCATTTTTATTTGCGCATTTTATAGTGAATTTAATAAAAAAAAATTGTTTGTGACTTGGTTTGACAGTCAATGTACATATATAAGATATGATTAGGTTGATATGATGAAATCCTGCAATAAAAGGCATCGCATTCCCAGACGAAAGTTATCCGCTTCAGCTGTCATTGTATCAAATTGCGAAATCCAAGAAAAGAAATGAGATCCACCTTTGCAAATTTTTGCATGAAAAGTTGAGACATGAAAGTGGCCAGAAATGAGCGTCAAACTGTTGCGAATCGATATTCTCAAAGCCCCTTGCTGTGTGTTTGTCCAACGGAATTAAGGCACAAGAGCTCGTTTCCTTATGAATCTGTCAAAGTTTTGGGTCAAATATCAAAGACAAGTTTGTTGCGTGAAAATGGGAAACTTGCATAATGAGGCTGATGCTGACATCACAGCTCACAAGTCTTCCAAACGATTAATTTCCAACATACTACTTTTGACTTTGACATAAGTTTTTTTATTCGTGTCTTTTTACATATTTTGGCTTTTTTAAATATTTATCCATTCAATAATTTTCAGCTTCAATTCATAAAATAATTCTAGTCTTAGACAACAGCAATACAAATCCATGTAATTGGGTATAAATATATTATGTAAATATTTCCTGAAAAAAAAACTTTTAATTGGAACGAAAATAAAAAATAATTTATATGAAATTTCGATCTGACGTTTAAAAATTGTAAAAAACTGTCTCCTCGTAGTGACAAATTTCTTCTCCTTTTTGAAAAGGACCATTAGTTGCAAAAGCTTGTGCGGCTGCCAAGTGTATCGCTAAACTTTTTCCGTCACGGCCAATCAAGCTTTTTTCGCGGCAAAAAAAATTGTAAGCAGCCTTTGTTAGGCGAAACACGATTCGGCTCTACCAACTTCTCACTTTGCAGTGACACGTGGCACGTTGGGAAAATAATTTTCGGACCGCGAAGGCAAAGTGTTTCCGCGCATTATCGCAAATCCGACCCTTGTAGCGAGTCTCAGCGCAGGTGATTGATGGAGTCGGCGAATCGGTGTTTTTTTTTGTGCTGGCCGAAAAAGGAGGAGAAGTGAAAAATTTATTTGCCGGCCGATGTAAATAATTGAGAGTTGAAATAAAATTGCATCGACTCGCTTAGACACTCCATCTCTCTCTCCGAGCGGATTAACACGTTGTTTTGCCACTTCTTCTTCCTCTCCCGTCGGATGTATTCGCGTCGGTCTCGGGGCTAAGCTGCCCTGGCAGCTTGAGAAATGGTTGCTTTCAAATGTTATTGTTTCGCCTCGGCTCTGAAATTCACTAAAACGTTGCAACTCCACAAACTGGTTCTGGACCAAGTTGCAAAGTTTATCTCGAAAGCAATAAAAAGAAAAGAAGCTAAATTTGCAAACTTTAAAGGTTTTCGAAGATAGATTATCACCAATTTAATTCATTATTGAAAAATTACTATTTAAACTGTTTAAGTCTTCTAAACAATGTCTCTGTTTTTAATTGTGAAAAATACTTGAACTCTTGTAATTCTGACAAAAGATCTTTGAAAATTATCTACATTCTGATTAAAAATATTTATAATTCAGAAGAAGTTTTTTACTTCTTCTGTGAAAAGAAATGCATTTTTAGAATTCAAACTATTTTGAGGTTTCATTTCAAATTTGGGAAATATTTTGATAATTTTTACATATTTAAAATTAAAAAGTGCAAATTTCATTATAAACTTCTTGAATTAAAGAAAAAATATCTTTTGTTTAATATGCAACTTTTTAATAACATCAATTATATTTGGGACATTTCAATTGAAAATTTTAAATTCTCATTAGTATAATGTTTCCATTTTTAGTTAGATATAAATTTAGTTTCTAAATGTATAAAAATTTTTTAGTTAAAATCCAAATATCAATTGACAAAATCAATGAGGGCGATTCAAAAGCCTAACTTGGCCTAGGCTAACTTGACTTAGCCCTGGGCTTACTTAGCCCACCAGCAAAATTAAATGGCATGGGTTAAATTAGCCCGGGCCAGGTTAATTTAGCCCAAGGTCCGCTCGTCCCTTTCCCGCCAAAGCTGTACGGCCGCCCGTACATACCAGCTGTTCCATATGCGCCATGCTAAAAGCTCGCCTCTCATTGGGTACAATTTTCGGCCGCCCCTCCCACTACCGCTTTCAAATCGTGGATCAGCGGACCTTGATTTAGCCTGGGCCAAGTTAGCCTTTTGGATCGCCCTCAATATTATTTCATCTTCATTAACAATTAAAGTATATTTTCCCAACATTTTTAAAGAATTAAGCGAATTAAGATCAACAAGTATTTCCATCAAGCTTAAACCTTTGATTGAAAGTTAATTAATTTACCTAAATTACCACTTTCTTTTAACTTTTCCATTTTATTTAACCTTCGCATCGATTTTAAAGAGTGACTTTTGACTATTGCACTGGCAAACACACAGTCCAGTCAGCATTTTGTATTTGCGTTTGTGGCCGGTGTAATAATCATTCGAATTACGGCGCAAATGGAGGCCGCGTGTGCGCTTTTCTAATTTCCCCGCGGACTTCTTTACGTCCGTGGGCATGTCGACCTTGCCTCGCACGTGTTAATTATGCCCCGTGTGTGTGTTGCAGACGGACGAGGCCCTTTTGGCCGTGGCCACGATCCGCGCAGACGAAAGCATGGCCGCCGACCGACCCGCCGACCTGGTTTGGCGATTCTCGCCCGCAACGCCGTCCGGAGACCTCGCGGTCGCCATCAAAGACGTCACCGGGGGACAGGTGAGATTTTATTGATCGTTTAAAAGCCGCAAAGTGCGCAGTTGTCGAACAATTCAAGCTCAAATTTAAAAGTGATTTTCAGTTATAATATCAGACAAATATTTTACATTAAATTCAAATATGTAAAATACTGGAATTTTCCTGAAATTGCCCACTCTAAATAGATGAACATGATGTTTTGTTTTTAGAAATTAGTAAAAATTAATCATTATAATGAAAATAGAAAAAGTCGGTGATTTAGTTGAAATTTACAGTAAAATAATTCAATTAAATTTTTAAATTTCCCAATCATATTATTGATTTTTATTTCAATATTCTAAAGATCTGCAAAAAAATTAAAATTAAATAACAATTTATTAATTTTTAGCCTCAACTTTCAGATTATATCAATAATTTACATGAAAAACAATTATGAGTAGTGAACTTAGATACCTGATTAAATTTTAATTCATCCTGTTACAATTTTTTGTAATATTTTAATAGGAAATATGGATTGGGAAAATGAGTGATCAACCTTTTTTATCTTTTTATGGTACTAATGGAGACAAAAAACCCTTTTCAAATCAAAATTGAGGTTCTTTAATCCCGTATTTGTCTCATATTTTGATGAAAAATACCATAATTTCAAGGATTTTAGTCTAAAAACAGCCTTAATTTTGTATATTCACCTATTCTGGCTAAATATTTACTATTTTTTACTAAAGCATACTGGATTTTATGAGAAACTAATGCTTATTTGAATCTTTCAAATTGATATCCAAATTTTCAGATCATCCAAAAATTTTGGCTACCAACTAAGTAAATTATTATAATATAAATATTGATTTCTTTGAACTGAACTTTAATTGCTTCAATTAATTTTATTCTTACATTTGAGCTCCAGTGAAGCATATTTTTGGAATATATCAATTAATATTTGAATAATTCATAAGTTTTTCCAATGCAAATAAAATCAGCACGTTATTGCAAAACTCTGTGGAAGCTGCGCATTTAGCGTTGAAATGAATCCGTCTGTCTTTCTCTCTCTCTCCAATCATAATAAAATCCATCGCTCTCTCGTTTGTGCCGATCCCCTTTCTTTCTCCCTTTTGAGCGCGGTATGAATTTTAATTAAACGTCTCCACTCTTCTCATCAGGCACCGCGAAGAGAGAAAATCAATGGAAAACTTGGAAATCAAAAACTTTTATTTGTGCAGCACTTGTATAATTTGACCTTTCTTTTGCTCTCTCAGGCCTCGTTTCGCGTGGGCGGGCTGAGCGTCGAGAGCGACGACGACGCCTTCCTTTGTTTGGCGCCGGCGAAAGCGCGACTCGCGTCGGAACGTTGCCTGCTGATGGATGACTCGGCGGCTCACAACGACACGCCGCTCGCCAACTTGCACTTGCCCGTTCGCATCCACCGCAGAACAGGTTAATTAACCCCTTTGAAAACACACACACGCCCTTTCCTCTTTCTTTCTTTCCCTCGCGTGCAAATTGATTAATTCCACACTGCGGCTTGTGTCAGTTGACGACTCTCTTTCTCCAATTAGTTAAGAAAACTCGGATTAATTAAGGCGGAGACTTGAAAGAAACTTTGTAACCCGCAAAGTTCCATTATTCATTGTTGAATTACAAAGAATTTTTCTTTTATGTTTTTTAATAAATTTTGCAACGTTTTTTTATTCAAGATTAAGTAATGAAGAAGTTTTGATTGGATTAATTAAGAAATAAAAACACTCGTTGTTTGTTTCTTGCTCAAATCAGAGCCAATTGAATTTAAACTGCGTGATTTATTTTATTGAAAGGATGAATAAAAAAATTAATTAAAATTAATTATTTTCAAAAATTTTTCAAAATGCTTCATTAAAAAATCTGACATGTTTTCACAAATTTTACCACTGCTGCCTCTCAAGTTCATTAACAGTTGCTCTAAATTGAGATCGTGTCCCTTTGAAGTGCATCAGATAAGTGAAAAACTCATTCGCAGACTCGGCGCTGACGATCTCGGCGTGGCTGCTTCCGTTGCGGCGGGGGACGGTGCGGAGGCGGCCCTTTGTTACCGTGGAGGTGGCCCTGTCGACGAGCAGCGGTGCCCGCTGGCGTTCGCAGCACAACGTCTCCATCTCCGACAGCCCGGCCGAGGAAGTTCGGCCCTTGCCCAAAGTTCTGGTAAGCGCTTTGTCGATTTGACTCGAAAACTTCGGTCTGGCGCGAAACAGTTTCAACAAAAAGTTTGCATCCGGCCAGAAATGAGAAATGAATGACGACTTTGACAAGTTTCAGATAAAAAAAGAACACATTGTCAATTATAAATTGTTGTTTTTTTGTATTTACTTAAAATTTTGGAGAATATGAACTTTACCGCTGAGAATAATAATGTAATAATGTAATATTTTGGAATTTAAGTATAGAAAAAAAATGGTAAAAACAAATTGAAAATGATATTTAAAAATTTATTCGCATCATAAGTTTTTAAAAAAACAATTGCTCCGTTTAATTTAATGTGGTTAAGATTTCATTTGTGAAGAAAATGATTTTACCAGTAAATTGTAACATTTACAAATTTTTGCAATTTTGAAAAATGCCACAGCAAGTTAAATAAAATTATTCAAAGATCTCATATTATTCTTGTTTATTAAATTTTGAAAGTGAAAATGCTTCATTTTGAAAGTAATATTATTTAATAACAAAATGTTCTGACGTCAGTGAATATTTTATTTTTTAACTTTTTGCCGTGGAAAATTAAATTCTGGAATGCAGGGCAACACGTGACGCGCCAACTTGGGCATTCATTTGAGTAATAATGAGACGCTTCGTTAGCGTCAAAATTAACTCGGCGCGCGAGTTGTGCCGCCAACAATGAAATATTTCGCGTCGTCGCCCTCGTCTGGAAATGAGGAGCGACAGCTGAAGTAGGCAACGTGCCGCGCTGAGACGTCGTGCCGGTTGCATAACTCGCTCGCAGCCCAAAAGAAAAAATAATAAAATGATGGAAAAAGTTTTCCCCTTCAATTGTCGCGCGGCAGAATAGAAAATGCGACGTTGCTTGATGGAGTTGGAAAAACGCTGCGGCCGGGGGCGGCCGGGGGCGGCAGTGACCGACCCTCGCACCTTTCCCTCTAATTAAAGCGATAAATCAACCGGCCGCACTTCTTTTCGCACTCGAGAGTCGGACTTGAGTTTTGCAGCGCCTTGCAAGAGACACACTCAAAGTGAAAAGTTAGTTTTCGGCCGGATAATGAGAAGAAGAAGGAAGGGGATTTGTGTGTTATTGTGTGGGCGCGACCACCGTGAGCACAAACTTTTAACAATGGGCCAAATGCACGCGTTATTCAACCTTTGCCCTCGTCCCGTATAAATCAATTTTTGTTGATATGGAATAGATTTCCATGGAAAATTTAAGCCGTACTTAAACGCTTGATTCTTTCCTTACAAATAGTACCATCTTTATTTTTCAAAATACTTCAAAATTCTGCTATTTTTAAATAATCAAGTACAAATTTATGACGTAATATTTAAGAAAATTTTAACCCTCATAAAATTTGGTCTTATATTTATAAAAAGGGACAATTTTAAAACTTGCTGTTTTATGCGGTTATTTCTGGAAAAGATAAAAAGCATTCTTATTAATTTGAAAGTATATAAATAATTTATTCGCCAACGCAAAACTCTGCAGGCAATTTTCTTTCGGAGCTAATTTATAAATTTCCGAGTGATGTGCCAGAGAGGAATTATCAAGGGACAAGACAAAACGACCCGCGAAAATTCATCTTGTGCGCGGCGCATATCGTGGCTCGGCGTTAAGCCTTCACTCTAAATGACAATTAAGCGCGATAATTTGTTGGCCTGCGGGGAGAAAAAGCAGGTGCGGCGGTGGATTTGCAGCAAAACAAAAGAAGAAGCGCCCGCAGCCGAATTAACCCGCCGTGGAATCGCATGCGCCGTAATATATTATTTGCTGCGGCCAAATGTGGGCCAGACGTGCCGCCATTAATCCACAAATAAATTATGAGACGAGCCTTTGAATGAGGAAAATTATTTGATGAGGTCCAAAAATTCAATGTACATTTAGATCGTCTCATTTCAAAATAATTATAATCTTCCAATTTGTCCATTTCCTGTGTAAAATTAAAATAATTTTGGTCTATTCAAATTAATAAGATTGTATTTAACACAATTGTTTTTATCGATTTATAAAATGTAAATAGAAATTGAATATTTAGCTAATTTTGATTACTTTGTAATATTTAGATTTCCAAATCAAATCTTATTCAAAATACTTATATTTTTGTAATTAAATCTTATTTTCTTCTTCTTAAAACACACCATTCTTGGAAATATCTTCCAGTTTCATGTTTGACTTCGCCCTTAATTTACCTTCATTTGCCTTGGAAAATTTAGTAAAGTTTACTAATTCTCTGAAAGTTTTTTCTTCCTGCACGTCTCGTCCCTCTTGGAATAAAGAGTTAATTTTCCTTTCCGCCTCCTTTGCTCCGTGAATTCGGCAAACCTGATTACGAATGTCGCGTAGTTTTGCTCTCTCATTCCAAGGCGAGCCAGACTCGCTGGGTGAATTAATTTGTCGACGGCGCAAGTGTGGCGTTTGACGACATTTCACACCTGCACTGCTCTTCGTCGCGCTTAATTAATCTCGCAATCAGCAGAGGAGATAAAATGACCCATCCTTTGAAGAGAGGCAATTAGTGAATCAAGTGTGGAAGATTTCAAATTTCAATCCGCACCTTATTTAAGTTTACTAGTTTTTAATTAAAGTAAAACTTTATTTAAGAATTCATTACTTCTGTTGCATTATTTTTGGAGAGTTTAAGAAATACACTTTATTTCTGGATCCATAACCTAGTTTTTTCAACTTTGAAGGAATTTTTTTATTTATCCAAATCCGATTAAAAAAAATTATTATCCGAAAATATGTGATTTTAGCTAATTTTTCATATTTCAAAATAAGTGACTCTAATAATATTATTTCAAAAATATATTTAATTTAAAGTGAAACTAATTATTATTATAAAAATGTAAATTAGGCGAAAAATAAGCGATTTATTTGTTAATCTTGAACCACAATTTTAACTTATAAATTGTTGTTTATTTAACAAATAATAGATTTTATTTTTCACATTTTTTCCATCCTAGAATTAATTAATTTACCTTATATTTATATAATAATTCACTCTTGCATTAAAATTCTAAATTAAATTTTAAATTTTAACTGATACATTTTAAACTATAAACTATTTTTAATCCAAATAAGAATTTTGAAATAAAAAGAGATGAAAATTATTTTTGATGTGGACTCTCTTGAACAAAAGGATAACTTGTGTCTATTTAAATTAGAACAAGCGTTTGTAATTCCTGACAGGCTGACAAGTCAATAAAACGTGTCATTCATTTGCGTACACGGCACCGCGGAATTCAGCTGACATTGCGCAAATTGCAAACGGGGGCGGCATTAATTAACGCGTATTGCGAGTGAGCAAAACACGATAATAAACTCGCTGCAAAACGTTGCGCAGCTGCAAAGTGTTGCTCTGATAAATTCCGGGTTTCTGTGCAGGTAAAGGCGGCGAGCGCGAGCGAGGTGCCCGCAGGAATTCCAATTGTGTTCCACGCCAAAATGCACCTGCCCAGGGGACTTTTCAACCTAACGGCAGCCCTGAGGACGCTGACCAAAGGTAGGCCGTCAACTCGCCAATTAGAGACGCACAACTTTCTCTCCCGTGCATTTAGTACAATTTACTAAATAATGTGCATGTTTTGCCAAAGTCTAATTCATTAAATTATCATCATTCAACATTTTAGAAATACAAATTTGCTAATGTAAGAACAAATTATTTATGCGATGGAGTTAATTACTTATTTTATTTATTACTTTTGGAATTTGAAAACGTAATAAATTTATTTATCAAATAAATCATTTAATATTTTAATATTTGCTGTAAACAGAAAATTAAAGTACCTGAAATTAAGAAATTATTGAAAAACTTTTGTTTCAACCTTTTATTTTGTGCTAAATTATTGAATTATAACATCTATTTTAAATAATAGCTAATTTAATTTTACTTCCTCATATTTATTAACATTGAAAAGCAAATGTTTTTTTTATAAAAATGACAATTGATGTTTGAAATTGTCAGGTGCAAGCATCACGGACGTGGTTCTGCTGCGAATCGCCGCCGACGTAGACCAAGACCTGCTCACCGAGCACCAAATCGTGAGGAAAAGCTCCGGCGAGACGTTGTTCCAAGTTGCAGCCCCGGTCTTAGTGCGCCAGGTGAGCAAAGACTCTATTTGAATATGAAATTAACCAAGTTTTAAAATATTCTGCTGCGCCCGGGAGAGGAAAAACGAACACATGCGCTGCCATCTCAGCACCGGTTGAATGCATTAATTAGAAATTCAAAATCGGCCAGTCTGATTAGTTGAATCGGCCTTAACAGAAAAGCTGCTTTTGCGCGCCTGCATAAATAATAACTTTTAAAACTTGGCCTCGGAGGCTTTTAAATTATTCAAAAGGCAGGTTTTTCATGCGAAATTTAACGTTTTTCTCTTCGCAGGACGCCAAAGATGCGGTGGTGCTGCAAGTTTCGGCGGTCGGCATGGAGAAGGGAGTTGCGAGATTCGGACTCGCGCTTGCGGCGTATCCGGAGGTGGCCGAGGTGCTTTTCAAAGCCGACGTCACTCCGTACCAGGTGCTGTCCTCGTAAATAGTGGAGCAGCTTCGGGTTATTAGCGTGATTGCATTTCAGCCGCCGATTGTGACGCCCGAGGTTTCCATCACCCCGTACGAGGACCAGGCGCTCTTCCAGCAGCAGGGAATTTTGCAGTTTGGCCTCGAGCTCAAAGTTCCAGGTCCGTATTTTGTTATAATTTTTGCGTATCTTAAATTTCTTTCCTTAGAAAAAGGTAAACTTTTAATTTGAATTCGCCATTAAACTAATTAATTAACTTTTTCGTCATTTTTTGCAACAAAAGAGGGAAAAATAGACTGAAATTAAGTTAAATCTTTATATTATCCAAATTGATGGATTAGCTTTCTGATTAATTTAATGTAAATTTTAATAGAATAGAATTACAAAAGCTATCACGTTATAATTTTATTTTTCAAACTCAATTTGGTTGTATTTTAATGAAACTTTCTTTTTTATAAGATGTGAAAAGACATTTATTATTGAAAAAAATATGCTCCCTGACGCTTTCAAGAAATTGTTTTCATAAAATTCAGAACGGCCCATTTTTTTCATTGTGTTGACTTAATTTGTACAGATTTATTCCGAATAATAAATAAAATTAATATAATTTTGTGTAAAAATGTTTGCACAGAGGGCTCGTGCACAAAGGCGGTGACAATCGAGCTTGACAGTTTGTTCAAAGGCAGCGGTGAGGTCAAGACGCACTTGTGCAAAGTGACTTTTGCCGAGCAAAGTGGAGTCGCACCGAAGAAGTGAGACACTCGACCCCTGTTGACGCACGCTCGTGAATTCCTCTGATCTTGATTCCAGGTTGGCGCCTCAACACAAACTAGAGCTCGGCCCGCTGTGCGCCCCTCGCAGGTCCAGGAAGCAGACTTTCAACTCGAGAAGCTTCCACGTTTTCAATGTCCAAGCCTCCTTCCAAGCCGCCACACTTCAAGATCAAGAGGAAATTGAAGGTGTGTTTGTTTATTTTTTCTGATAATTTATTGATCTTTTTTCAAAGAAAAATACTCACAAGTTCTGTTTTTAGCAGAATCTTGTAAATTGAATTTTTTTAAAGTAACAAAACAATTAATTTAATAAAAAAATACCATGAAATTCTGATGTAAACTATTTTGTATTTAATTTTTTAATTTTACCTTTAAATTTGAATATTTCAGGAATAATTCGAATTGACGCCAGAATGCAGCTCGGCCTCTCTCCCTTCTGGTCAGGCGGCGTCTCGACGCATTTGGTCGAGAAACTCTCGAGCAGTCCGAGAAGCTGCGAAAGCCCCTCGCCCGACGTTTGCCTACTTTAAGGTGCACCCGGCGCAGTGTGTGACTTGAAATGTGTTGAAATGTATCTCGGTGTTTTCAAAATAATACTTAAAAGCTTGGATGTGTACTTGGGCGGTAGCGAGGAGAGTGAATTTGGACTTAGTTTTGATGAAAAGCAGTGTGGGTCGATGTCCATATCAGTGATAGTGTCTGTGATACCCGTCTCAATTTTTGCGGTTTTAAAGTATAAGGGAAAAATTATGTATGGTTGGAAAAATATAAATTTGATTCTGAAGCAATGAAATTACTAAAAAGTTTCTTAACTTCATTATGTTTTTAGAAGGGACCAAAATGTAAAATATTCTTTAAATTTTAGGCCTTTGCCCAACCAAAATATTATTTCTTAAGCTCCTGAGCAATTAAATTAGATTTTAATTTAAAATTCAAATGTTTTTATTCCTACATTAAAAGGAACAATATTGGGATTAAAAGTTTTCGAGTGTAAATTTTAAGGGGGGTTTTTTTGGCAACAGATTTTATAAAAATTGTGTTAGTAAAACATTCAACATTTGTTAGTAATGCTTCAAGATGTACCTTCTACGATTAATAATATTGTAAAATATGTATGCAGTGTGTTTCTGATAATAAAAAAAAAAAATGCCGATCATTAAAATTGCTGACAAATTAACAAGGCTCGAAAGTGAATAACTGGAATAATATTTGTGTGTAAATAGTAGGATTAAAAATGGCAACAGAGATCAAACAGAAACTATTTGTATGCTTCTTGTAAATTAAATATTCGAGATAAGGATTGGTAGGAATTTGAAAACAAAACTGGGTGTTTGCTGCTGTATTGAATGTAAATATTGTAATTTTAACATAAGATAATATTATTGAGAGTATCAAAGGTCAGTCAGAGGGATCGGGAAAAAATCATATTAATAGTGAAGAGGGGCAAAATCCTTTCCTCTTTGTGTAAAAGATTAATATTAATAATTGTACTATGTTGTATAATTAGCTCACAATTAGAATAAAAGTTGTGAATATTTGGAAAAATTAAATGGTTTCCTTCTTCTTAAATAACAAGAAAAAAAATAAATTACCAAATTAAAAAAAAAATCAAAATAAATTGGATATAGTTTTTCATTTCGTGTGCGTAGAATGCATAACAAGATCGCGCTATATAATGAGGATGCCGTCGATAAGAAGTTGTCTGGCTGCCCCAAGCGCGCGTCTCAAAGTGTTACAAAACAAAACACACGCATTTATATACAAGCAAAAAGAACTGCGTCAGCAACACCATTCTCGTTGTCGCCGGCGGGTCAGTTGAAGTTCAACTTCCTGCCAAAGCAGACACGGAGAATCTCAAGCTCGAATATATCAATCGCCGCCGAGGAAATATGGCTCATAGGAAACTGGTCCTTGTGGCTGCAACTTTTGGCCTGGTGCTCCAGTCGGCAGCAGCCTCTGTCATGTTTGAAAACTGCGGCACGAGTGAGTTGAGGACAAAAATTATAAATTATATTTGAAATACCTTTGGTAATTTTCCAAAATTATATATTTTTAATTAAAGTTGAAGTATATATTAAAAAAAAGAATTTACATGGAAACATATATATTGAAATTGTCCAGATGTGTTTTATAAAAATTAATTTTTTTAGTTTGCTATACACAAAAAAACCAAAAATTAATTCCTCTATTTTATTAATTTAGCAAAAATATCATATTTTCAGTTACATCTCCAGTATTGAGTTTTTCAACATAAATTATTAATCGTTTAAAAAAAATAATAATATAAAAGTGGTAAAAGGGACATTTTAATACTAATTGATCTGGAAAAGTAATAAAACTGAGCAAAAGGGATCACACATTGTTTTGAATGAGAAAGGACCTTGTTCTTTGCTCTCAACTGTAGCGGAATCCTCTACAGCCATCACAAAATTTCACGTCCCATTTCCGCTGATAGTTTTTATCAAAATGGGGCAAAAAATGTAGAGCGAAACACATTTTTTTCATTCAAGCGAAATTGCAGGCACGGTCGGAAAAGTCAGCAACATCGACATCAGCGGCTGCGACACTCACAGCACGTGCAAGCTTATTAGAGGGTCAAACGCGTCACTCGCAATCAGCTTTCAGACAAGCGGTGAGAAAACAAAATTAGTATAAAAATTTAAAAAAAAATAATAATTAATATATAATATATTTTGATGGTGAATAAAAAATTAATCATCAGGCGGCGCGAAGCAGCTGCAGTCTGTGGTCCACGGTGTGATCCACGGCCTGCCCGTGCCCTTCAACTTCCCCTACCCGGACGCCTGCAGCTACGGAGGTCTCTCGTGCCCCATCGAAACCAACACTCCTCTCGTCTACACAGCTGCGCTCCCCATTTTGAAGACTTATCCGCGGGTTGCTTGTCAAAGTGAACAATCAAAACGTCAAATTAACCAAGTTCATTTTTTGCAGATTAGCGTCAAGATCCAGTGGGAACTCAAGGACGAGGATGACAACGACATTTTCTGCGTCCGAATCCCATCCGTTTTGCACTAATTAATTGAAAACGCAGTTTGTATTTTTCAGCAGGCAATAATAATAATAATAAATCCTTGGGTATTATTTTGAAAATTTCTGAGTACACATTTATTAGATCGTTCAAGTGTTCTAATTACAACATTCAGATTAAATACCAAAAATCGTGATTATTATTTGCTATTTTGGCAGATTTGTGATATCTTATTTCTATCTTAGTGTAAAATAATAATTTAATCTGCTGAGAGTCAAAAAAAATAACTACATCTCAAAAGTTTTTAAAAATAATTAAGTATTTCGATAAAAATAAATGCATTTCTAGAGAAATAAATAAATTAAGATGATAATATTCATTGTGGTTAGAATTAAAACTAATAGAAACTGTGATATGGCAGATCCGAAACAGCACTCTCGGAAATTACTTACAGATTGGTAAAAATAATAATTGTAATAATACTGTGCTATGAGAAAATTCATTAAATCCGTTCAGAGCGGGTAATGCTAACTTTAAATCACATCGAAATCCACACACATGGTCGACAGTAAGTAATTATAAATAGCTGCGGTTCAAACTACCACGATGGAAAATCTCACTCAAAAAAAATTTTGAATCGTATAAATGCCAATATGGAAGCTCTCGAAATTTTGCAAATATGTGACGAATATTTGGGAATTTAGTCCATGGCTGTCTTCCTGGCAAACGAGGTCAAGGACGAGATTTCGGATGGCTCGGTGGGCAGACGGCTGAACTCGATTTCCTCGTTCATGCTTTGTTGGTCTAAAAAATGAGGCGGTTTCAGGATTAGAAAACTTTTCCACTGGATTAGTCTAGAAAGTCTACTCAAGGTTGAAATATGTTGCTCCATACCGTCTTGGGGCCACTGCTTGTGCGAAGGTGAGTAGAGGACGATCAGGGCAAAAATGTAAATGTTCCACATTCCGTAGACGCCTGAGAAGAAGGCCGAGGTGTACTCGAGCTCAATGTCCTCGTCCCACTTCCAACGGCCCTCGGAAACCTTGACCAAAATTTAGCGAAAAGAATTGCAAAGTTTTCCTAAATTTTACCTGTCCAAGAATGAATCCAACGACGGTCATGGCAGCGCAGAGCAGAGTGGCCAGCATGAGGAATTTGAATCGATAAATGACTCCTTCGTAGTGGAGACGTCTGGCTCCGGACATGCTCGGCAAACTGGCCCTCTTGGTGCTGATGTTGTTGAACACCTTCCAGATCATGTACGAGAGAAAGAGGAAGTAGATTCCGGCAGAGATTCCAGCCATGATGATGAAAGTCAAAGCCAAGTTGGTTCCCACACTGGTGACCCAGATGGAGTAAAAAGGGTTGCTCAGTTGGACTCCGCGTTCGCAGACGTCAAAGACGAAGAGGGAAATGCAGCCGATGACGACGGCACTGAGGTGCTTCCAGTACGCCCTCAGAGTGTTGTGGTCTTCATTTTCCTGACATAGACAAATAATTAGTTAAAATTATAATTTTTAGATTATTTTGAAATTTGAACTACTAAAAAAACATGCATTTAAAAAAAATGCAAACAATCTACAAGTAAATTTTTCCAAATAAATAATTACCTGAATCTGATTGGTGCGAAATTGACATGAAACAAAAATCGTTGGTTTAAAATTTTAAAAATGATTGGCACGTTCAAAATTACCATCAAATGTTCGCCGGCAAAGACAAGCCAGAAGGACAGCAGAGAAGCGTAGAAAACGCCCTGTCTGATGTCACCAATCAAGGACATGTAGGGCATGTCAAAGGCCAGCGTGAGGTACTCCAAGGGCACTTGATAGAAAATTGTTAAATAAGTCAATCAATTCAAGGTATTTAGAAAACATACAATTTAAGACAGTCAGAGAGCAGCCGAGGAAAAGGAGCATTTGCTCCAGAAGAGCCGGAGGGCGGTTCAGCTGGTGCACCCTGTTCCAAAACCAAACCATGATGCCGACGATGACGGGGAAGAAAATCGTCTTCAGGGACAACCAGACTTTAGTGAATCCACCATTTTGATTGATGGCCTAAAAATCAAAACGTCAATATCATTTTAATAAGCAATTTTTAGAAAATTGTTCCACATTAACTATTCCATGACACACTTTGACTACAAGATTTGATTGGACTTGGGTCAGCTTCAAAATTGGCAAAATTTTTGCAAGTAAATTTCCAAATTCATTAAATATTCCACAAATATGTGTCTGCTTGGAATAATTGGAACATTTTAATCTCCATTCAACCCACCACAAGCCAAATGTCAACGATCTGTCCCAAGCCACTGTTCATGTTTGTGTTGTCGTCGACAGGCAGCCTCAGATCCAAGAGGTAGTAATCGTGGTGCAAAGAGCCCAGCTCGAAAATGGGCACAATCGAGCAGCTGTAATAATAGCCTTCTTTTTTCTAAAAGATCCACGAATTAAATAAGTTTTACAAAAAATTATTTTTAAAATCATTTACTTCTTTAATTGTGCACTCCAGCGTTCTTTGCTCCCTGGATGAGGCGTAGTATTTCCAGTCAGTGTCTTTGTCACCCTTGTCACGGTAAGCGAGTTTTGCATCAATGGTGACAGTGGTTTTCTCAGCTGAAATTCATTATCAATAGAAAAAATTTGTTTGCGGATAAAGGATTTTACCCATTTCCGATTCCTTGTGGTACTCAATATCAAACTGGAGCACCCCGATCAAATTCTGTTGCCACCTTGAATAGTCCAGAATTAAATTATCCCTTGGCAGAGGCAACTATTTTAAAAAAAAAATGTAGAAATGAATTAATTTTTATATAATTATTTCGGATAACATACTTGAAAGGCAAAGACGATCTGGTTTGCCAGGTGGGTCTGTTTCATGTCGTCCTGAGTCAAAAGGTGACACTTTCCCTGGCCTCGGGGGTAGAACCACTTGTCCGTGTAATTGCCGGCGTCGAAGCATTTCGATGCGAGAGCAATGTCCGCGCTGGACGGGTTGGGCGCTGCAGGACATCGATTGAACAGTGTTTAATTGCATTAATTTGAGATTGAAATTACCGATGAGTCCGCCGATGAGGAAGCAGATTATCTGGGAAATGATCAGGATGGACACAAGCACGAGAAGCTTGCGTCCACTCAAGTTCTCGAGGATCGCCCCGGCCATGTTTCCTCTTCACTCACCAACTCGCTCGGCTTCTTCTTTACAGGACGTTTGCAAGCTTCTCTCAGCCTGAAACGGCGACTGTGCGGAAGGAAACTGAGCCGGATTAAGCTGAATAAACAATGCGGCGATCTTCAAAGGACAATTTTGTGGGCGATGCGCGGATGAAGCAGACAGGGGGAGATCGGGGGAAGCCGTAACTCGAGAGAGGTCATTGACGGAGCAAATATTTTGTCTTACGACCACTAGGTGGCAGTGGCGTTCACTTTGAGAACTATAAAGGTTTTTTATAACTAACCGGTTCAATTAGAATGTATTTTTTAAAAGTAATTGCGCTTTATCTCAAGTTAAAAATATAAAAGCAATTCACTTCATTCATATTAAAATATCGTTGCAAATTAAATGTAAATTTGTATTAATTTCTTTAAAAATACATGAAATTATGGAAAATATGCATAGCTTTCATACCGGTTATTTTAAAACAAACAGAAACAACAACACCGAAGGCGAAAACTGATAACTTTGCCGCCTTTTTCAACAAACAGCAGAATTTTATCGGAGAGGTAAAAAAAGTTTGATTAAAAATGGATTTATTCACAAGAATTGAATGATTCAATGCAAAAACAACCGCCGATTTTATCAATTTGATGTTTATCTTTTATATTTCACAGAAAACGTCGCTTGTCGCTGATCAGAAGTCAGAGAATTAAGATCTTAATTGTTGTGCCTATGCGCTTTTTGTCAACATGTCTCCAATAAAACAAGATCAATCTGGCGCGGAAAACATAGAACCAACGGGGGTGGACCTGATGAAAATGAGAAAGCTGGCAATGACGGAAATGCAATCCGCCGTAAAACTTAAAAAATTTGTAATATCCATTTATTTATTTAAAAATTACAGAAAGCTGTTTTGCTCACTGCTGCCAATGAGTTCAACGGAAAGTTAAAATATGACAATAACAACCAGAGGCGAGTGACCATGTCACCAGGAAATTTTCGAAGGGCAGCAAGTCCCTTGCTAGAGAGGAAATCCTCAAGGTTGTCTGGAAAGCCTATTATTGATTACACAGGGTATATATTTTTACTGAAATGATTGTTAAAAAATTTCTATTAAATTTTCTTAGACTCGACTTTGAGGAAAACATGAAGGGATCCAGGAAAACCAAACTCAGTGATGACAATTTTATGTCAAGGTTGTCAGTTGGAAATGGTCCTAGAAAGCGCAGGCACACTCACACTGTAAGTTTAATTAATTCGAGGATGGACGCAATCTCAATTTTTGCGTTGAAATATATTTGTGAAAAAACACATTTTTTTATCAATTCTGGATTAAGAACGAGGAACAAAAGTGAACACAGAAAATGAAAAGTCTTTGTTAAAGAAATTTTTCTATCATATTACCTTTGAAAGTGACAGTTTTTCTCCCAGATAAATGCTTTCTGCAATTGCAAATGACCATCTTTTGCAATCATGATCATCTTTTCAAAAAAAAATTGATTGCAACCAGATCGCTTTTGTGATTTTATCCATCCTTGGTTTAATATTAATTGTATTTTATACTTTATTCATTTCCCTGGTTATTACTTTCCAGCCTTCGAGCAGGGCTCAACCCGTTGAAATTCTCAGTGTTGAAGATGTCACTGAGGAAATGATTAAGAACATCAATTACTGCACTGGGAACAAAGTTTACAGTGCTGAACTGGGCAAATCTTGCCACCAGTGCCGGTATGAAAATTTAAAATCATACATGGGTGCGCTCAATAAAAAACCCATCAGCAATGAATTATGTAAAAGTTAAACACCCAAAATTGGGATCAATTTTGAAGTTTTTAGTGTAAAAACATTGTTTTTTTCCTTACAATTTTTGATCAACCGTGGAATTTTTTACTATTGGTTTATGCCCAAAGTGCGCTCTACCCGTGTATGTTTAAAATTCCTAACAGATTAATGATTAATCTGACAATTTTAATTTTCAGGCAGAAAACTATCGACACGAAGTCTGTTTGCCGATCTGGCTTCTGCTTTGGGGTGCGTGGACAGTTTTGTGGAGCCTGTTTGAAAGATCATTACGGAGAGGATCTTGCAATCACTCTCAGAGACCCTGTAAGATTTTAAAATTTTCCATCGCGTTCCTAGAATTAAATACCTAAAAAAACTCTAGAAATGGAGTTGCCCCATGTGCAGAGAAATTTGCAACTGCTCCTTCTGTCGAAAGAGGGCTGGCAAGTTGCCCCTTGGTCAAATTTCTGGCTACGCTAGAAGTCAGGGCTATGAAAGCGTCCATCACTTCTTGGTGGACAAAGAGGGGAAGTTCGACAAAGGTGATAGCGAAGAAGAAGCAGAGGAGTTGAAGGAAGTTGACGATATTGGAGATTTCATTGAGGACGACGAAGGAAAGCCCATGGGCAGGAAAAACAGATCTGCCAATTTGGTGCGTGTAAATTTTCAAGCATAAAATTTTTTTATCAAAATTTTGATATTTCAGACTATAAAATTTGCATTTCGAAAGCCCAAAAGGAATTCCTCTGCCTCCAACAAAAAGAAACTGCCTCCCAAATCAAAGAAAGATGAAGTATTATTATTTTTATGTTTTTGCAATTTTGATTTACCGAGATTTTTACAGTTTGAACAGTCCATAGTACACAATGATGAGCAGCTTTTTAAGTTGCATTTTGAACAGGTATTATTAGTATAAATTTGAACTGGTATTTTTAATTTTACTTGGTATTTTGCAGAAACTTTCTGAAACAATGCCAAAGATCATTGAAAAGGGAGAGAAATTTTATGGTTTCAGTGACAATGAAAAAAAGGTGGTGCAAATTTGCGTTTAAAGTTCTTAAATTAAATTTATAAATCATTTCAGAGCATTGAGGAATACCAGCTGAAAGAAAAGCCACTGTTGTTGGCAATGAATGACAACAAAACCCTTTATGACGCACTTGATAGGAAACAAAAATTTTTTGGTTTTTAGTTTGTTTCAAACAAAAAACTTTTGAATTTTGTTTAATTTACTTTTGATTACTCAGTGAATCTTCTCAACTATTCTATTGTATCATATGAAGAAACAAGCTTAATGAAAAATTAAATTTTAAGATTATATCAGCGTTTTACAATTTGACGAATGCAAATTTTTGAAGTCTTATTATCGGTATTGCAAATAAACGAAAATATAAAAATTTCAATTAAAATTGTATTTTTTATTTTATTTGAAAAAGATCATGTTTCTCTCTTGTCTCTCGCATATTTACACTCACAAAGCTAAAGTCACACACATCAGTTGGCACCGAGAGTACATAAATAAAGAATCTCGCAAACATGTACACATGAAAATTCTCATTTAATTTTGAAGAATCACGTCCATCTGAGTGCCTGAATAATAATTACCAAGAGTGTGTGCGGTTACATTATCACATGAGGAACTGTTACAATTTGTAAAAAACACCTGTAATTATATTCATTAATGAAAAATGAACAATTATTATTTTACTCCTGTTTCTCTTAGCTTCTCTCTTAGGATGGCGAAAAAGATGAAGCATGAACTTCAAGTTGTGGGTTACAAAAAAACTAACTCATTTTTAGTCACCAAAATTCGTGCTTATCTTTTTTGACTAGCAATTCAAATATGTTGACTAAAATTTTGATTAATTTCAAGTTTGTTTTTATCAATTAACGAAAATTGTGTTTGCATATTTGAATCGTTAATTCGTTACTCCTGGTTTGATAATTTTTGTAATGCACAGAGTAAAAGAGAACTTTTTATACCCTGTCGTCAAACAAAAGAAGATCATTTTTTTATCTCCGGAACAAAATTTACTTAAATATATACTTGCTCATGTTAATGGGGAAATGCACAATCAATCTTTAATGTACATATATTGCTGAAATTAATCGTGTATAAAACTATATCTTGTACATACGCAAATTTAATGAGCCTTCCGAAAGAAAAAAATCAGTTTTGATACATTTTTCCTCTCATACCCATTTTTGTCAATTCACTATACTTTTTCATAAAAATATTGGTACACACTTTTGTTTTGCAAGAGGTGCCCCATTTTGTATTTTTTTACACTAGACTGTAATGTTTATACATATTGAAGAAACACCGAGTTAACATGTTAATTAAAACAGGTCTCAGGGAATAAATAGAAAATTGAATTTTCTTCCTCTTCAATGGTGGTGATGTTCGTGGTGGTCGTGGTCGCCGTGCACTTCAGGGGTGGTTCCCGTTAGCTGGCCCACTACTTTGTCAGTCATGTTTTGCACTAGCTGCGGCAGAATGGAGCTCAGGGTTGGCGCCTCGTGAGGGTGGTGGTGAACGTCGGTGTGGTTGTGTTCGTCCTCGTGACTGTGCTCATGTCCAGCTGCAACACAAGCCAGAAATAAAATTAAATTGTTTTCTGGAGGAAGGAGATGGTAACAAAATTGTGATTGTAAATCAAAGGAAACGTATCAAACTTTTGAAGGTGTTAAGATGATCGCACAACAAAAGAGTGGTACTGTTGAAATTAATTTTAAACTATAATTAATTAATAAATATGACTATAGCGGGGATTGTAATTTCAACAAAATGATTTAAAACTTTTAAATAAATTTGAATTTTTTTAATAATTTTTTAGCACAATTTAATAATCATGGTAAACCTTATTCAAAGAGGGCCTCTTCCTCTTCCTGCAAATTGTGTGCCAAGATTGGCATCTTTGACAATATATGAGCTCTTTTTTTCTCTTGAAAGCTTTCTCATGCTTTTCAAACTTATTTAATTTCCTTTTCCTCGACAAGCAGCACATAATATTTTAGTATACTCGGTACTGCAAGCGCTGACCTTGTCTGTGAACTTTTCGAGTGCATCAAATTTATTAATTGCCCTTTTCTCGCGTGGGGCCGGAGCAACGAGTTTTCCAAATAATTGCATGTTGGACAGGTTTTATGATAACCTCGGTAAATTGCCTCCGCTTCTTTAATGATGTATTGTGGTGCTATTTTGAGACCTGCTTTCCTGCTTATATTGTTAATAGTGTTTAGATGCTGAAGAGGTTAGCACCGCCAAGTACTATAAAAGCCAGCCGAGCGTTTATTCACACAGAGATCAAAACTCTTGTGTAAAGCACGTGAACCTTTAAAGTATGCAACTTGCACGGCAGCGAAATGGAATTTTTTCCACTTGTAAAAGACTTAAAATTCCTATTATTCAATTGAGAATAAATTTGATAGGTAAAAGTGACCTAGAAAATTTAACACAAGGTTCAAACTTAACCTGAAATTTGCTTTTGAACAAAAATTTGTTCTAAAAAGTAATTTTTGTTACAAAATTTATTCCAGCAATATTATATTTTATATGGATTTTTTTTTTTAAATCCATGACAGCGCTGGTTTTCAAGAAAAATATTCCTTGAAGTTTGTAAATGAAATATTCAGAGAAGATTTTTTTATTGCGTTAAATTATGGGTTTTTGAAAGTTAATTTAATTATTACATGTTTTATGAAGATTCGCAGAAATATCACTCGTTGTTTGCAATAGGATGTCGTTTTCCTGTCTGAATAACAAGCCGCAGATGTTAAATTAAGCGCGTCTTTCGTGTCCACCTTTGTGTACGCAACAATGCAATAAAACACATCCGCAAACTTGAGCCTGAAAGTTCATTCTTCGCGGCCGCCCAGGCAGGGCGAGAGCTTCATTTCCACTCTCTCGAGAATACATTTTGCTCTCCGTGAAATATGAAAGGGACGAAGCGTGTTCGCAGATGTTCGCAGCAGAAAACATCTTTGCTTTTGCGCAAATTGATATGATGCATATTGGATGAGGAGGATTGTGGCTTCATTTTTTTTGTTCTTTTTTTACAGACGTGTGAAGCAAACAATTCAACTTTCTTCAATTGACTCTTCACGATCGTAAATAGTTTGTTTTACTTATTTCAACTTTTCAGAGTGGAAAGAACTTGTCTTTTTCATTAGTATTTTTATTTAAGATTTATTTTAAGATGTTTTGGAAAAACAACATTTCACCAATTTCTTTTTCCTCTTCTCATATCAGCGAACCGTAATCGTGTCACTGCGCACTAATTTTTGTATATATGCTTCGCGCATATGAAATTTCTGCAAAAATTATTTATTTCAAAAAATTTAGCAAAATGCAGGAACATGTCATGCGTGTGTTTTGAATGAGGGTTTTGTTTTACCATTAGTTCTGTGATTTTCAACAATTAGGCGCGAGTTTTAATGCATGGTACTGGAAATAAGGTCAAGAATAGCATTGAAAATTTAACACTTGTTTAATCACTCTCTGGATAACTTTTGAGAAAATTTCATGCGTGAATATTAAATTGCAAGGGATTCCGGTTCACTGCAGGTACCAGAAGACGAAGAGGATGAAATTCAAAAATTTTCTGCTGGGACTAAAATAATTTGAATTGGAGTGATTGGAAGAAATTTGAAATTGACAAGTAAAAAAATTTTTAATAATTACTCTGTAGAAATTTTAATTTTTCCACACCTACATAGGTTTTATTTCCAAGTTTTTTTTTCACAGAGGAAGATTAAAAAAAATAAAAAACTTAAATTCATAGATTTGTTTAGAGTTCTTATAAAATCCTGCATCTCAAACAGATTTTACATCTTTTAAGGAAAAAACGTTTTTTTTTTTTTTTACTTTTCACGCTGTTTCACGCCTAAATAAACTAATTTAGGTTTCAACGTTTAACGCAGATTAAAAAATATAAAAATAAAATTTTTTTATCTATCATCTTTTAAAAATATATAAATATTCCTTTGCGATTGATGTACGTTTTTTGTTCTTCACTTGATCACAAATTCCGCGTGCATGCGACACCAGCGCGCAATATTTTGCCAGAGCAAAAAGCCAATCAGTCATGCATAGTGAGGCGCTCTCGGCGCGTTGAATACCTAATCAAAGACGCCTATAAACTCTTGTGTGTGTGTGTCAGAAATTTTGCTCTTTACGCACTTCCCTCGGGGGAATTATTCTAAGCAGAGACGAGACGGCCACGTCAGGATGGAATAAATAATAAGAAGCAAGAAGAAGAAAAAATGTTGTTGCAGGTGTTGTTAAAAGCAATAGTAATTATAATTATACATATGCGTAGAGACCAGACGGAACGTGGGGAAAAATAATTAATCAAACTTCAGGGTCTGCTTACAACAAAATCATTGCCAAAATTTTTTAATTTTTTCCAAAATATGTTAATTTCTACAGTATTTTATGCTACATCATTGATTGCTATAATTTCAATAAAGAGGCGAGTGAATTATTAATATTTTGTTTTATATTTTGAGAAACTAAAAAATCATAATTTGAATCGATTGAGCTTGAATAATTCAAAATTTTTATGAACTACAAATTATATTTAATAATTTTAAAGTTCTGATCATTTTAGATTTGAAAAACTTGCTGCATCCTGGTGCTGTCAACACCAAAGCCATTTCCTGCAAGGATATTGGCGGTTTTCAATTTATATGGTTTAGGAAATTGGCAAAAGGCCACAAATATTATGGGAAAGCGACGAGATCCAAAAGCCAAGCAATTTCCTCCTTCAAAATAACCGCCTTGGAATGTAATAAATGCAGAATATCCTCCTGGCGACAGTTATAAGATTTTCTGCGATTTTCATCCCAAGGTGAGTGAGTTCCAGTTTGTTAACCGGCAAAAATGCCAACCGGTTTTCCAACTTGGTCAAAATATAAAAGCGGTAGATTTATTTTTGAAAATTATTTTCACGCTCAAATTGAATTTTCCCCAAATTTGATAAGTTTTGCGCTCTTCAACTTAACTTCGCGCGCGGTTATAACTTTGTCTCGTGGGCTGAATAGAAAATGCCTCTATTTTTTGAATTGCTACCGTTTGAACATATTCTCAAAAGAAAGAGCTCTCTAGAGACCCTTCAAAAATTAAGTCTGAAAAGGTTAAAACTGAAAGAGATTATATTATTTGCTAATAACTCTAAATGTTTAAAATACACTCTACAATAATTTTTTTATGCTTTTTTTTTATAAAATTATCTTTAAAACCCGTTGAGATCCAAGTTTTTTGGTGGCATAACTGAAAATGAAATCAAAAGTTACATAAAACTTAATTTTTTTCAAACAATGGCAACAAATTATTTTGAATTTTCAGATCAAAAAAGAATTTATAAACTAAAAATAGAAAAGATTTAATTTAAAAATAAAAATAAAAGTTTTCATTGACACCATCAATGAAGTTTTGATGTCTTGATGTATCAAACTTAACTTTTGTGCTCAGTTTTTGCCAGCGAAGGGAAAATTCCGTTTTTCTCTGCGCCACATCAGGAGAATGAGTTTTCATGCCAAGGACTCATAAATTAACCTGGCTGCTCGTGCGGAGGCGAAATTATTGCTAGCATTGAAAACGACATCCGATCACAGCATGAACTGTAACATTAATGGGCACACAAAATTGCGCATCGGGCAATCGATTCCTTCCTTTGCCACTAATTTGCGTCACCGCGCTGCTTTTCCCAACGAATTATTCTTTTAGTCGAGTGGATCCTGTTTATCTGCAAATTTCACCCAATTAACTCCTGACTTTTGAGCACTTTGCTTAATTGACTTTTAGCTGACGGCAGCGTAATTATTAATTTTAAATTAGGTTCTATTTTAAACAAGTGTTGTATGAAGTATACAACATCCTTTCTGAAAGATAGGATTTTGGTAAAAGAAAATAAAAAATTAATATTTAAATATTCGTTTTTAATATAATATTATTGTGTGATTTGTAATTATTTTTAAATTTGAAACTATATTATCTAATATGATTAATATGTTGAATTTAAAGAAATAAAATAAATGACAAAAAAACATTCTATGTTTTACAATGTGTCTCAAAATTTAAGCTGGTTATAAGGAAGAAATATTATAATTGATTTTAATAATATAAAATTAAATGAAATAAAAAAGTAAAGAAAGTTAAATTGATATAAATTAAAGAAAATACACACTTTAATTTTAAAATTTTTAAATAATAAGTTACGTATAATTTTTGGTGAAAATAATAGTTATTTAACTTTAAAAAGTTAGCAAAGAAATCTAAGAACTATTATAAAATAAAAAGCCCAAAGTTCAAGTCGGCTTTTTGAGCTGATGGGGTGGCGCGGCAAAGTGCTCTGGGCGCTTCACTTAAATTCGCGGGCCGCCTGACAAAACAGCAAGAAAAGTGTAAATATATGAAAGCGCTCGCATCAATTCATCTTCATCATTTGGGGCCGTCATTAATCACAAAGCTGCAGCGACCGGCCGCTGGGTAAATAGATTTGCCAGAGCGAAAACGGGCGCACCAAGAGATGAGAAGCTGCGGCGACGATCGATCCTGCCGAGGAGCGCCAGACCCACC